ACCATTTCCCTTCAATTTGTAAGCCTCAATCAATATAAAAGTGGGACATATATACAGAATGGATGGATGAAATTCAGTTCCAAATGAATGGTTTATATATTATAACTATTTTACCTAAGTAGGGTGATTATAAACAACCTAAAAGAACTTGAGATATAATTTATTAGAGTTCAAATATAAAATTCAAACTTCATGAGGTTACCCATTCAAACTCAATGTCCCAATATTTATTCAAATGTAAAAATGCTTAACTTCAACTTCCCCCAGGAGCTTACATTATAGGGTCATATACATTCAAGGTCAATTAATAATTTTTTATATTATAATTATTGTAACATTGTTACAATAAAATTAATTTTTTTTAAAAATAAATTTATGAACTTAATTTAATTGTGAATACTATATATAAAATTATGTACAATTTCTTATATCATATAAAATTTAAAATTAAAATAAAGAATAATAAATTGCATATCCTTTTATGATTATCAGTCTGAAAATCTTATAATTTTAATTACTCAATTAATGATAAAGGATCTCATAGTTCCAACCAAGTGGTGGGAGGAGCTGCAGTGCAAGTGGTGGCTGAGAGAGTTCCTTATCTAGATATTGAGGATCGAGAGATAAATAATTTCCTATGCTAAAGGCTGGCAAGGAGTGATCATACAGCACATTACTCTGTACTGCTGCTTTGGCTTTGCAATATAAAGGCAAAAATCACGATCTTTGAAGCACAAGACCTAGGAAGAATAAAAATATGTGCTCCATTGATCTTCTTGCTAGCATATTTCACACTGCTGTCCCACCACCGAGTCGCCCAGCTGCCCCTGCTCACTAGCACGATCCCATTCCGGATTAATAAGTGTGTTATTGCTTCCTCAACTTTTTGGCAAGGATGAATAGTCTTGGTAGCTAGCATTCTTCAGAGGAGTCTTCGCAAATCTTTTTGATTAATTAATTTAAACATAAGTTCAACCTTAACTTAAGATGGCAAAAAGAACAAACGGAGTCCAAATGAGGATGCTGCGCTGTTTTCCTTTTCAACCATTTGCTCGCGGCACTGCTCTTAGCGTCCACCACCACCAGTGGGAGTGCTCTAGAAAGTGAGCCGTAAGCTTCTGCAGCCCGCACATCTGCCGAGCACCCGGACTCCTTCATTAGCCGAAGACTTCATAAACCCCGGCCAAGTTCCTCATGCACTCTGCCTTGCTCGACCGTGTAGCTACTTCCATTTCTCCTTGGATGAAGGAACTAATCAAAGTCCTGATGCCATTCGTTTGATAAGATAAAATGCTTGCACGACCCTGGCCGAGAAGAGGAGTCACCAAAGTGTTGTAGTTGACAGCAATGGGAACACAGCCTTGTCCAGCCATCTCCTCCAGGTCCACAGCATGGACCCGGACTCCTCCATTACCAGACGATGTTTCGAACGATCGAGCCTGTGAGCCTGGCACAGCCTGCCTGCGAGCTTTTTTCCCTTGTCTCCTTGCAAGTCACAGTATTTGGAGAAACTTCCGTCTCTGAAGACTTCAAGTTTCCTGCCTATGATGAAAACAGTCGGTGACGAGAAGATGTCGGCCAAACGTTGCAATACCATGCCAGCTTGATAGCTTGATGGCGTCCGGAGGTCAGGAGTATCTGTTAGAAGAACTGCACCTCATCCACTCTGCCTTGCTCGAACAGAGTGTGAATCTTAATATCTGGAGAAAGCCTGTGCCGTCCACAACTTTGAAAGCTCCTTCCAGGATGACCGCACTAGAGTGCCATTCGTCTGAGAGAAAAGGCTTCCTTGGCACGACCCTGGCTGAGGAGAGCATTCATCGAAGTGTTGTAGGCGACAGAATCAAGAGCACAGCCTTGTCCTGTCATATCCTCCTGGAGGTAGTTTGTATCCTTTGTCAACCTCGTTGTCTCGTGACGACTTTTGGCCGAGGATTCGAAAAGCCATTTCTCTGTAGCCGCCTAAAGCATGCCTACCGAGCTACGCTCAGAAGCGATGCGCTTGAAAATTGTGTAAGCAGGACCAAGGATGCTGGCTTTGAGAATGCAGCATGTACCATCCTTCTAAATCAAAGAATCCAAGAGAATCCTTCCTACAAGAGGATCAGTAGATGTGATTGTGCCGCTCCTGTAGAAGGCATTGGACGCTTGGAACTTGAGAAGGATGAGATCAATGCTTCTTCTGGAGGAGCCCCCAGAAAAACACCGAACAGCGCAACTACAGATGCTTCGTGTCGCTGTGCGTATTCTGTCGCAGCAGCTCCTCACGACTCACGTACACCAGTTGTTTTGATCGAGTAGGCCAGTAAGCATTCTTGGCAACCGTGAGAACTTACCATCAAATAGCAGCAGCGTCTTTGAAAATTCTCCAAGATGCTCGTAGTGTGTGCCGGTGATTGCGCTCGATCTCGTTCGCAGATTTCACCTTCCGCACAAGAGCATTGTGGATCTGGAACGTCCTCTCGATGACGGTGTCCAAGATGGGTGGGTTCGAGCCTTGGCAACCGGGAAAACTGCAAGTTATACCCGGCTCCGTGTAAACGATGATCTGGAAGTCGGTCATGGAGAGCTCCATTTTCTCCTCCAGGGCCTTCATCGCTTGCAAGATCGCGAATTTCCAGCTCGGATCGACACGGAGAGCGAGAGAAAGCCAGAAAGTAGGAGAAGATCCACCGATCCACCGATCCTCCTCAAAATCCTCCGCTAAGAACGCGACTTTAGAGGCTAAGGAAAGCTGACGCATTGATTTCCATAAAACCATGTCAGCTCATACTACCGAGAAGACTCTCAAAGACCACAAGGGTCAAAACCACGTATGTTACAAGTTGAGAAATCGTTGGAATAGAAAATAGTGGAATAGAAAGTAACTATACGGTTTTTATAAGTTATTCTGGCTTATGTTAAAAAAATTCTCGTTTGCTTCATTGAGCGTTCGAGTGACAGTGCTTGGAACAGGTTCTCCGAGCGTTGATCGCGTGGAACTTTGGCTCGATTGGAATCGTGAGCTTCTTCGTGGACCTGGCAAGGAAATCAAATATCAGTTCCGGAGTTCTCAAGCTTCATTCTATGGCGATTACCTTTGAGGCCTGAAAGGCCGATCGAACAATGGCATTCTCACTTGCCTGCGTGTGTCTTTCATGTTTACTGGTTCGCCTGGAAGTGTTTGAGAAGTGGCCAAGTCCTTGGTGATCATCTGGATTGTGTGGAGTGAGTAATGGTAGTACAAAACCAGCAAAAGTTTGCGAACCTCGATGCTGACTTCTACTGGGCTTCGATTGTCTTTAGTCCTCGGTGGTGCTCGTTGATGTTTTCTCTTGAGAGGAAAAGCCTGTACAAAACAAAGCTATGCATAGAATGCGGTGTTGGAAGACGCCAGAGAAAATTACCTTTGGCTGGCTTGTAGCAGCAGATGGAGGTATTACAACCGAGCCCTCTCTAAGAGCGATGTACTGCTCCATCTTCTTGTTGAATTCAATCTCCTTGAGAGCACCTCTTTCCTGTTGGATGGTTTTCAAGGCTTTGAGAAGTTTGAAGTAACGTAGGAGCTACTTACCTCTGTTCTTAGCCTGAATGGTTGTGGACAAGTCACTCTTGGTCGCTTTAGCGGAATTGAGAGTGATGGCGGAGGAGAGGGACAAGCGACGGGAGGTATAGCCTGTTAACACACAAGTCTTAGATTACACGACGCAATGCAAAGCAGGCACTTCACCTTTTTTATGGTCTTCCGTCTCGTGGTCGTCTCTATACTAATTTTCCTGCGAAACAAAAGAACATGTGTTTTAACGAAGAGAAAAGAGTGAAGTCTCGCGTACCGCCTTCTTCTTCCAGTTTGCTGTGTGTTTTCCTTACGTGTTGCTTTAAAAGAAAAAGCTGGCTTGGTTTCCTGGAAGTTACCAGTGTCTATCCGAGATTTGTCCACGGCCAGTTCTTCCGATTTTTTATCTGCGCAGACAGCACCGAGAACTTCCGAGCAAACTTTGACGGTCTTCTCTTCATCCCCCAGCCTCAGTAGTTTGATCGCAGATTCCAGTATGACCGCCTGCTCGACGACATACTTTGCGGCAGCTTCGCTATCCCTGCTCGAGTCGCCTTGCTTTTTCTGTGACACTTGCAACTCCGACTGGGCAGCTTCAACTGGTTTTCGAGCCGGAAGCACAGTCGCTTCGTTTTGAGTCAGAGTTCCTCGATAAGATCCACAGTCTGCTCCGTCTCGAGGGGCGTCTCTCAGTTTTTGGAAAAGCGCCTTCGCTTTGCTGAACGGCTGTTGCTGCGTAGCTTTTCGAGTTCCAAGAACTTTCTTCTTCTGTGGGACAGTTGCCGGAAAATTCCCTGACAAATACCTGTAGACTTGTGGCACTGGAGAGACCTCTCCCGGCTTCTGGAGCTTTCTCACACCCTTTGCTGCTGGAGCTAGCTCTTTCTTGAAGATTTCGTTCGTGGCAACCTCGGGAGGTAATTGTCCAACTGGTTTTACTTGGTTTGGATCCTTGTTCTCTGAGCACTGCTCATACCTTGGCGACTTTGGATCCAACGAAGAACTGTCCTTGATCAAAGATTGTTTCCTGGAAGAATGATCTCTCCGATTAAGAGGGTAACGAAACAGCACGCTCAAACCTGGATGCATTGTTTGATCCAGTTTGTAGAATCGATTGGACAGTGCTGTTCACAAGATCCTGGCAAGAACAACGGCTGGTCAAGCCCAAAGCCAATATTTCGGGGAAATCCGGCATACCTTGATGTTCTTGGAGGCCAATCCATCGAGGAACCACGCGTCGGCGTTGCCAGAATCCCTGGGATTGATGAAATCGTAGAACTTGGGCGCCTGGAAGCTCTCGTAAAACTCATCCCGGAAGAACGATATCCCGCTGCTCATTCCCAGCTCGAAATCGTCCATTACCCTGCCGCCGCTCACTGAATCCAGCTTTTCTTTCCAGTCCTAGCCCTAGCCCTTGCCGATGCTCGCTCATCCAGGAATCCAAGATCACCGAGAGGGCGACAAAGCCGCAAAATGCAATAAATTAGGGTTCTACGGGGTCTTTAGTGACCGTTCGGAGAGCATATACCACGAATGTGAGCCGTCCGTGCGCAAGCCGTACAGTTTCGTACGCGTCCGTACGGACGCCCTCGTGCGTGACCGTTTCGCGATTTTAACAGCTCCCTTTCATTCTTTTTTGGCTCGTTGTTGCGCAGTGGCTGCCGGGCTCGCGGTTGGATCGCGGCTGCGTTTTGGAGAACGCCACTTGCTCACAGCCGCCACGAATCCATCCGACATTATAAGACGAACTGCGTCGGCACCACGCTCGTAGCAAACATCAATCTGGAAGAGCCAAAAACGAGAACACGGGAAAAGATCTACCAAGTTAGTGAAAGTTCTCTCGATCAAACCAAGCTCTCTTTCACCTCAACTTTCTCGCGCTGCGTGAATTTTTGTAGCACGTAGGCTTTTGGATCCATGGCACCCGGGGGCCGTCCAATCCCTGTCGTAGAAAAGCAACGAAAACGCATTAACCAATGAGTGGATTCTTCGTCCCGTTACCGATGCGCAACCGAGGGATGTTCTTGTTGTCCTTGAATCTCTCGATGATGTTCCTCATGCTGCGAGAAACGTAGAACATCAGATGATTCGTGAGGTTCGAACGATGTGGAACTTTACCCGTTGTGACCACCCGGACCACCCTTGGGAACCATTTTCATTGCTGCTACGTCCAAGTTCATATCGTCGTGAATCTGGAAAAAATGGAACGCCATCGTTCTCGAGCAAGTGAAATCAAGAGCAGCTTACCACTAGTATGTTGTCGGGCTTGACTCTGTAGTACAAAGCAAGAGGCGAAACCTGGGAAAAAGATTGGCAAAAGAAGTTCTTTCGCAAAGTGATAATTTCGGCCATACCGCATCGCCACTTAAGTTCATGTATGTCTGTGGTTTAACGAGCAAAACTGGCACACCTTCGATCATGCCTGTAGCAAGCAAAAAACGAAGAAGGAAAAAAAAATTAAAATTCTCAGCGCTTGTGTGAAAGAAGGATCCAACCTTTTCCAACGAGCGCTTTGCATTGTATCGTGTTGAGCTTGATGTTTTCCTGAAGAGCCAAGAGATCGATCGCCTCAAAACCAACCTGGAACAAAGCAAAGAACACTCTAAGCGAAGAAAAAAAGCAAAGAGACACACCCACACAAACACACACATTGTGACGAGTTCCCACAAATTTGGAGCCCGGATTTCCCAGCCCGACAATCATCCACTTGGAGGCCCTCGGGCGCTTGAAAGGCTCCTCATTGTCATCCGGATCATCGCTCTCTTCCTCCTGAGACGACGAAGGCCCTTCTCGCCCACCAGCGTTTGCTCTAGTCACAAACGAAATCCTCCAAGCCAATGCCGGAGGAGCCAACCTGGTGATGAATGCCGGCGCCACGCGAAGAGCTTGCGCAATCCCGGCAGCGCCGCTGGAGCTCCTCGCTACTTGCGGATGGAATCGGCCAACAGCGGCCGCGTAAGAGAGAATCATAGCTCCTGGCCAAGAACCCTAAAATAATTTTAGGGCTCAAACAGAGGAGGAAGAGGAGGAGGCAATGGCGACGACGAAAGGTACGCAATCCTCCTGAGAGCGCTGCTAGATCTAAGCTCTCTTTTCTAGAGGCCGGATGGTTCTACTTGGACAGCGGCTCCAATCATCGAGGTCCTTTCAAGATCGATCAGCTGCGTGGTATGTTTCTTTTCCCTCTTGTTCTTCGCATGTTTAGATGCATTCGCATGGGTATCAAATCTTCGGGAACCTCTTTTTCATCTTCGTGCTGCTTGATTGTTGCGGATTCTTCCAGTCTTGCACTTAAGAATAGTGGTACTGGATGATGTTTTGATACAGACTCTAAGGATTTCATCAATGTTCGCATTGTGGTACATGGGTTTTGTCCCCAGACTTATACTCTGCGGGCGACTTAACTGGAAGCTCGATGATTTGGGCCGATGGAAGAAGTGAATGGAGCCCTCTCTCAGCCATCCCTGACGTCTACGAGAAAGTTGCTGGAGGAACCAAGCCAGGGACTGAAAATGGTAGCGTGGATACGAAAACCACTGCTACTACTACGTCGGAAACCACTGCGGAGGACGACGACGACTTTAGAAAGTGGCAAGAGGAGATTCGGAAGGCTGAAGAGGAGGCTGCGATGCTAAAGTCTGGAAAAGCACCGAGAGCATCCAACCCGTTCAAGAAGCGAAAGGAGGCTGACAAAGATCGTCCGGAAGGATTTCCAGAGGGTGAAGAGCGCTTCACTGATGACGATGGAACAATCTACAACTGGGACAAGAGGAACAAAGTCTGGATACCCGAGGTAATTTTCCTTGCTTTCCTGTTTTGGTTTTTGTTTATCATTTTGCTGGATCTCGACTTCTTCTACTCAGAACGAGGACGCGCCAGCCAGTGCGAACTATGCAGCTGCAGAGGAGAATGCCACTCAAGGAGAACAAACCATGCCAGCCAGCAACCACGCATCAAAGCAGACCGCACCGCCTCCAGAAGAGAAAGAAAAATCCGTAGAGCACCAGGAGGCTGCAATGCCGACTGGAAAGAAGGTATGCGTTGTTTCTGTTTAAAAGGCAAAACTTTTTTCTCTCTTTTCATAGGAAGCACAACCAGAGCCCGAGAGCTGGTTTGAGCTGAAAGTTAATACCAATGTCTACGTGACCGGGATACCGGAGGATGCTACCGTAGATGAGGTAAATTTTTCAATCGCGTGATAGACGGCTAGCGAAATCGAGTTTTGCAGGTTGTCGAAGTTTTCTCCAAATGCGGGCTTATTAAAGAGGTCAGTCTTGCGGTCGATAGGTTCTCACTTGCTGGTTTGGTTTCCAGGATTTGGAGACGAAGAAGCCTCGTGTTAAACTTTATGTCGACAAGGCTACGGGCATGCAGAAGGGGGATGGACTCGTTACATACTTGAAGGTAAATCTATGAACATATCTCTTGTGCCTCTTAAAATATCATCTCTACCTTAACGAAAAGGAACCATCAGTAGAGCTAGCTATCAAAATCCTGGACGGCACTCCACTGCGACCCGGGGGAACAAAGCTCATGACTGTGTCATTGGCGCAGTTTCAACAAAAAGGTACGAAGCATTTCTCCCGTTACCATAAAACGTACCTTTGCTGTTATTTGCAGGCGAGGTTTTCGTCAAGAAACAGACCAACAGGAACAAGAAGAAAAAGATGAAGCAATTGGAGGAGAAAGCTCTGGGCTGGGGTCAGCTTTTCGTTTGCACTGTTTTAAAAGTTGTTTGACGCTTACTTTCTTTTCATGCAGCTGGCTCGGATGCAAAGAAAGCACGGCCCATCAGCGTGGTGCTGAAGAACATGTTCTTACCGAAAGAAATCACGGTACTTTCCATAGATTTGGAGAAAAAGCTCTCACGCGCGTCCTTCCCATGCTTTCAGGATGAACCAACTTTACTTTCCGAGCTGGAAACGGACGTAGGCATCGAGTGCTCGAAAATCGGCACGGTGGAAAAGGTCCGTATCTTCGAGAGGCATCCGGAGGGAGTAATCGTGGTGAAGTTCAAGAACCGGGAGGAAGGTCTCAGTTGCATCAGGCTGATGGACGGTCGCTGGTAAGAAAAAGAAAACCTTTCGTTTTCTCGCTTTGAATTCTTTCTTTTCCAACTCAAAAACTAAACTTCTCCCTCGCAGGTTTGGAGGTAGACAGATCGAAGCAGCCGAAGACGCTGGATTGGTGGATTACGCGGCGGTGGTGGATCTGGCCGAGGAGGCCGAACGGCTCGAAAAGTTTGGAGCTGAGCTAGAGGCCGGACTTTAAGAGCTGGGATGGATATGGATCGATCAAACAGCGATGGTATAATAGCTGCCTTCACAGTTTTTGCGGAAGAATGTCACACAAAACTGTGTTGTTTTTGTCACCAGAAGTTAATGTGGTGGATCTTCCTGGGATCGCGACTGTCTTCAATACATAGATGATCTTGTCAAGCGTAAGATCCACTTCAATGAGCCCAAGAGTCAATAGTAGGAAGATCACAACCACTGGTATTTAATCGTTTTGTTTACCCGGTAACGTTCTTATTCCTGGGATCGACGATCGCAATCGTGCAACGTGGATTTAGTGTCGCGTCGCGCCCGTGGCCGCTGGATGCTCTGTTGTTGTTGGTTTAATTGGAACCGGCCGATGCGGACGATCCGGCGGCTGCGAAGCCCTCCCTCCAGCGCTCGATGTTCTCTCTCCACGACCGGGTGAGAGAGAGGCGGGATTAAAACTTTGGTACCGCATCAGATCTCTGCAGCTCCTAGGGTTTGTGGATTTGTGGATTTGTGAAGCGCGCCAGCTGAGCGGCTATGGCGCCGATCGATATCAGGCAAGCCGCGGGCGCGATGGTCGGTCTGGGTGCTCGCGATGGCCGCATTGAGCTGAGATCACCAGTGCGATCGAGGTGAAATTTCTCTGGGGATGTTCTAGGGCGTGGAGAATCCAGGCGCTCGTCATTGCATGGGAGAATGTCGCTTTTTCGCAGATTTTTCTACCGGAGGCCCCCCGATGGGCTCCTGGAGATATCCGAGAGGGTTTTCGGTAAGCGCTCGTCCTTGATCCATTTCACATTCATCCATTCTTTCTTGTGCTTCTGTGGATCCAGTCTTTGACTCGTGCTTCTCCACCGACGTCTTCGAGGAGGAGACTTACAAGCTCTACTTGCGCCAGATCGCTATGCAAATCCACGAGCAGTTCCCCGACTCGTCCTTCCTCGTCTTCAACTTCCGCGAGGGCGAGAGGAAGAGCCAGCTGACCGAGATGCTATCGCAGTACGAGATGACCGTGATGGACTATCCACGCCAGTACGAGGGCTGCCCGATTCTTCCCATGGAGATGATCCACCACTTCTTGCGATCCAGCGATAGCTGGCTCTCGCTCGAGGGGCAGCAAAACATCGTCTTGATGCACTGCGAGAGGGGGGGATGGCCGCTACTGGCGTTCATTCTCGCCAGCTTTCTTATCTACAGGAAGATGTACACGGGCGAATTCAAGACGCTCGATATGCTCCACCGCGAGGCTCCAAAGGGATTGATGCAGCTGCTCACTCCTCTCAACCCGATGCCATCACAGCTAAGATATCTCCAGTACGTTGCTAGGAGGAACAACTCTCCGGAGTGGCCACCCCCGGATCGCTCGCTCAGCCTCGACTGCCTCATTCTCAGGGTGGTGCCTACTTTCGACGCCGAGGGTGGATGCCGGCCCCTCGTCCGGATTTATGGAAGAGATCCCCGATCAAAAGCAGGGAACAGGACGACGAGAATGCTCTTTGCCTTGGGAAAGAAGAACAAGTCTGTCCGGCACTATCGACAGGTAAGTTTGTGAACTTGCTGTTTCTTGTTCTTGCTTTGATCTCTTGTGTAACGCTCTCTTGTGTGTTCCAGACAGATTGTGATGTGGTCAAGATCGACGTACAGTGTGCTGTGCAAGGGGACGTGGTTCTCGAGTGCATCCACTTGGACTTGGAGTCGGACCGGGAGGAGATGATGTTCCGTGTCATGTTTAACACCGCTTTCATCCGCTCCAACATCCTGATGCTCAACCGGGACGACATTGACATACTTTGGAACGGGAAGGAGCGCTTCTCCAAGGACTTTCGAGCAGAGGTAAGCAAGCTCAACCAATCGTGGCAAAATTGATCTCTTCTTTGTTAGGTGCTTTTTGGTGAGACGGATGGATTTTCGTCCCCTGTGGCTCCTGTGCCGTCGCTGATAGAAGATAACAGTGGCTTGCCAATGGAAGCTTTTGCCAAAGTCCAGGAGCTCTTCAGTAGCGGGGACTGGCTAGACGGTGGCGGAGACGCGGCATTGAAGTTTCTCCAGCAGCTGACCACGGTTGGCAATGATAGGAGGTTGACAATGGATCGAGCAGCACTAACAACGGCGGACAATGAGTGGACAATTATACCGAGCACCACCACCACCTCCGCCGCCGCCACCTTACCCCTAACCGACGACGATCACAACGGGACGAGTCCAACGTCATCGTCCAACTCTAGCTTCGCACCAGGTACTCCTTCGCCACCTCCTCCCCCGCCACTTCCATCACCTCCGAGGTTGGCCATTTCGCGTTCTCCACCTCCCGCTCCACCACCACCAGTTTCTGTTACTGGTCGACCCCCTCCTCCGCCACCTCCACCACCTCCGTTCAAGCTTCCAAGTTCTACTGCTGGAGCTACTGCAAAGCCGCCACCGCCACCTCCACCTCCTCCACCGTTTCCTCGAGGGAATTTAGGTGCCCCACCAGGAAATTCAGCTGCACCACCACCTCCGCCTCCTCCACCGTTGCCTCGATGGAATTCAGCTGCACCACCTCCGCCTCCTCCACCACTGCCTCGAGGAAATTCAGCTGCACCACCGCCTCCGCCTCCCCCACCTCCTCCGTTGCCTCGAGGAGATTCGGCTGCACCACCACCACCACCACCGCCTCCACCACTCCCTCGTGGCAATGCCGCTCCTCCACCGCCACGTCCAGTCCCTACTGCCCCTCCTCCACCTCCTCTTCCACAAGCTGCGAGGCCTCTAGCTTCATCAAGCTCACCACCGCCGCCGCCGCCGCCGCCGCCTTTACCGGGAATGCGAGGCACTCCTCCGCCTCCACCTCCGCCTTTGAAAGGACCGCCTCCACCTCCGCCTCCTCCTCTGGGGACGAAGTCGCCATTGCCTGGTGCACCACCTCCTCCGCCACCTGCATTGGGGAGAGGGCGAGGTAGTAGTCCTTTGACACCTTCGCCTCCTGGTGGTCGAGGCCGAGGACAGAATACTCTAGAATCTGCTACGCCGAAGAAGACCTCTCTCAAGCCATACCACTGGGTAAAGGTTACACGGGCTATGCAGGGCAGTCTATGGGCGGAGCAGAAGCAGTCAAGGTTTTGTCTTGGCTCTTTTTTTCACGTGCTCACATTTTTTTGTGCGTGGTAGGCAACCTGAATTTGACATGAACGAGCTAGAGAACCTTTTCTCGAACGCTGTTCCAAATGCTGCTGTGGGTGGTGAGAGAGCGGGTGGTCGTCGTGCATCTCTAGTTCCCAAGCAGGAAAAAGTGCTCCTGGTAAGCTACCTTTCGTAGTAGAGGCGGAGGTCTCACTCTGTTTTATGCAGATTGATCTTAGACGATCGTACAATTGCGAGATAATGCTGACAAAAGTGAAGATGCCACTGCCTGAAGTTGTTGTAAGTTGCTCTCTACATTATGCAATGTGGTTTTTACTTCCAACCCTCAGAAAGCAATACTAGCGTTGGATGGGACGGTACTGGATGTTGATCAGGTTGATAATCTGATCAAGTTTTGTCCAACGAAGGAGGAGATGGAAACGCTCAAGGTTTCATTTCCAGACATGTTCTTGACATCTAGCTTACTCGCTTATCATTTTTCAGAACTACACGGGCGATAAAGAGTGTCTGGGCAAATGTGAGCAGGTTTGTCCCGCTTTGTCCGCCACAGCATCGTTTATTGAGCAACATGTTTGTTTTTGCAGTATTTCCTGGAAATGATGAAAGTTCCTCGGGTGGAGTCCAAATTGAGGGTTTTTTCTTTTAAACTTCAGTTCACGTCTCAGGTTTGGTCAGCATATATTTTGTCCACGCTTTCAAACATTGATCTTAGGTACTAGATTTACGGGAAAATCTGGTAGTAGTCAATGAAGCTTCAGCAGAGGTAATCTCCCACTGTTTTTGTAAGTAGCCTGAAGCCGGATTTTTGCAGGTGAAAGAGTCTGCGAAGCTTAAAAGAGTAATGCAAACGGTTCTATCCTTGGGAAATGCGCTAAACCAAGGAACTGCTAGAGGTAAGACCTGTGCTGGGGAACTTGAGCTAACTATATGTTGAGCTAACATTCCAGGGGCGGCGATTGGATTCAGGCTCGATAGTCTACTTAAGCTGACAGAGACTCGAGCTCGTAATTCTAAAACTACGTTATTACACTATTTGTGTAAAGTAAGTACCATGCAACTGCGTGTTTTTGGCTTTGCTTACACTTGACGTCGGTGGCAGATTGTATCTGAGAAAATGCCCGAAATACTTGATTTTGACAAGGAATTGCTTCACCTTGAAGCAGCCACCAAGGTTTCTATCTTTTTGCACTTCAATGTATTTGTCTTGGTTTTCTGACGTGTGTGGCAGATTCAATTGAAAGCCCTTGCAGAAGAAATGCAAGCCGTAAGCAAAGGCCTGGAAAAGGTTGAGCAGGAATTGACAGCATCTGAAAACGATGGAGCCGTGTCCGATGGGTTTCGGAAGGTGATACTGATTATGATCTCTGTCTTGCAAGCATTGTGCTAATAATGTTTTCTTTGCACACACAGAGCTTGAAGAGTTTCCTTGATACAGCGGAGGCGGACGTGAGAACACTGGCGTCGTTGTACTCTGAAGTGGTAAGAGATGAGCAAGTTTGTTGAAGTGATAAGAAAGCATCACTGTTGTGCAGGGCCGGAATGCTGATTCCCTGGCACGCTACTTCAACGAAGACCCCGCTCGATGTCCATTTGAGCAAGGTACTTAGCATTTGGTATATAGCGCCTGACTTGAGTTCTCTTGGTTTTTGGTGCAGCGGTGTCGATCATTTTTAATTTCATCGTGATGTTCAAGCGTGCATTGGAAGAGAATAGCAAGCAAGCGGAGATGGACAGGAAGAAAGCCGAGAAGGAGGAGAAAGACAAGATTCTCCCGCTGAGAATGGAGCTGGATGGGCTACTCTCGCCCCGGCGAAGCAGGGCGGCGTGACCATTTAAGTTTGGAGATTTGATCGAGAGAGAGAGAGAGCGCTTTGTTGGTTGTACATTCATTCTTCCGGATAGATTTCACAAGAAACAAATACTTCAAGAAATTGAAAATTTGGAAAAGAATTTTTCGCAAAACCTCATGGGTCGGAATATGACTTATACTTCGAGACACACAGACGGGTCATCAGATGCATACTCTACAACCCAAGAAGTAATGGTAGTGAAATCGCCGC